CACAAAGGCAGAGAAAAGGTGAGGTGAGTACTGTGAAGGGATCAAATATGACTTACGGTGGGGTGATGGTAGTTGGAAGTCAGAAGTCAAGTGCCGGTTAATAGACTTTTTGCCGTATGAGTATACGTTGCCCAGGATGCACCACGTGGAGGTAAGTCTATCGCACACTCCTAGTTAAGAAATAAGCAGGAAACTATTTTCCAAATTTTGTCATGGGTACTTTATTGGTGAACAAGGTAAAACCTGCCTATCTAATTACCTTTGAAACCAAAATGGACATTTGTGTAGATCTCACATCTAAAACTAAATTGCCTTGAATGGTCCATTTTCAGCCGTTATCGGCGTTATGCACATGTTTGGTCTTGGCTCAGTTAACCAGGACTGGTCCGAGGCATTGAAGTGTCTTCGAAGTGCTTCAGAGAGAGGGAGCATCTATGCCACTGGAATGCTCGCTTTGCTCTACTTCTTTCGAAGTTTCTACACCCTCGCCAGCCGAACTGCCTACACACTAGTTGCCAATACCGAACTTCAAAGGCGTCCAACTTCTAGTGTCCGAACTTCAAGGTGTTTTTTTTTGCGTCTTTTGGTTTGAGTTTATACAGTGGAATTGCCATTTGATTGGGCTTTATTGTATGATAGGATTTCGTTCAGTGGTAAGAACGATGGCCATTATTTGGGTGAACGAACGTTTATGCTCCGAGCAGTGACAGTGGCCTGCTTCATCTATGCACTCTGTCTAGATCGAGGATTGGGAGTTCAGAGGGACAGTAATGCCGCAAGCGCAATGTATTCCAAGGTAATATATATATATACTGCTATGGTTCATTATTGATACAATCTCTCTCTCATTGATTTATTACCAATGGAGAGCAGAATGTATTTTTTTTTTCGAATTCATACAATTTCGGGAATGGAGTTCACGTTTGGTGCACTTTATTCCTCTTCTATACCCATACGTTGACATGCAGTGTTCTTACTGCTGTAGGTAAGTAGCTATCCGATTAGTCAATAATTGGGCAGAAATTCTTTCGGGGGTTGCTAGCACAGAAATCCATTAGTCTAGGAAATTGATGATGATAGATTCTACTCGGGTGGTTTGAACCTACTTACTTCGATTTCTTACAAGAATTCAGCGCATGTGTCACGGAGCTACTGCCATTTTCTCAATCTTTATCACTTGTTTGTCTTATTTTCATGGAAAATCCAATGATAGGCGACCGACACAATTCTCGTAGAGCCTTTCACTCTGATACAATGTCTAATAATTGATGAGTCATTGGGAGGACTGTAGTAATCAATCCCTCCTCTGCCAGTTCTCCGAACGCGACTGGCATTCCCAATATTAAATGTTTGTTTTTTTTATGAATTTGAACCGAAACTCATCGTTAGCTCTCTTATTAACAAGCACCTCTGCTAAAATTCTAGACTTTCGGCAGATGAATTAATCATTTTCTCTATCACAATTTTATACATTCATTAGTGCTACACAGCATAATTCAAACGACCGACAACTGATCTCAATTCATTATTCTCTCTCGCCATAACTAGCTCACTTTATTTCTTTGTTTATTTTTTCGTTCAAGTTAGTGGTATTCCTTTTTATTGCCACATTTAGCATTTCACACAGAAAAAGCGAATTGGCAGGAAAATCGATATAACTTCTGCCTTTTATTACAGACGGAGAATCCATTGTTGTTGTTGGGTAGGTGGATACAGTTGCACACCAAGTAGGGTTTGTGTGCATGTTCGTTCCGCTTTAATTCAGGAGAGCAAGCGCGCGAGTTGGCCTACTTCTGTGAAGAATGACCTGCGTTGACTAAGCTCATGTGTAAGGAATGGTTGAGGTTCCAATCAAGGGTTTAATTGAACCGTCTGAAATGTTAGGCTTTGGGAAAGATGAAAGTAAAAGTAGGACTTACCGCAGTGGTGAGTCGATGACTTCAGTCTCCAAAGAGAACCTGCCAAGTGGTAAACTCAATTGCTCAGTAAGCTGAGTAAAAGATATTGACAATTCAAATTAAACTAGTTTTTCAGGATTCACTTGCCAAAAACATTTTTGTTCTGCCGATGGTAACCCATTCATACTGACAACCCAACAATCAAAGCCAATAATTTACGATCCAAAGTGTCTCCTTTGCATCATTTTTTTCATAAGCAAACTTCATATAATTTGGCATGTCAAATTCCCGCAACACACCACCAACCCAGTTTCATACCGATTCACAAATTTTGTGCAATTGATTTGGGGTTACGTCTTATACAACCACAGGAGTAAAGCTATCTATTACCATTTTCAAAAGTTGGACTCCTCATCTCACGAGAACTCATGCAAAAGTACGAAAATGTCAACCACGTGAGAAGACTCTACGATATCGACAGAATCACCGTTTTTCACGTACAATGATGAACGAGTACTTCCAGAACCAAACTTTTGACGCCCTAAGCAATCCCCATAGCACTAACACTAAAAAGCGAACGGCGGGGGTCTTTTCAAGTTCGTGACCGCTATTATCATGGAGGAATAAAGATTACGATACAATAAATCCACCCGTAAACGGCTAGCAGCATTAAGCGTAATTATCAACAAGCTCGAATTGGCTTAACTATACACAATATCCATCAAAATTTATTTATCTTATTTTCACCTCAATTCATATAACTCTACTACGCCTTTTTCTTCTTTCCAGTGCATTCAACTCGACCCGGTCACAACGAGCCACCTACAGGACATGGTCATTCGAGCAGAACTCTAAAGTCGTGGAATGCATATAAAATTGACTTTCACTCTACAAACAAGTATACACATACCCTAGCAACATTGATTACTACATAAATGCTGATAGTTTCATCGGAATGTTCCAAATGCTAAAGAGAAAAAGCATAAGAGAGCTCCGACTGGAGGTCATGGAGGAGCCCCAAAAAGTCGGGGAGGAGGGGAGGGGGGGGGGGGGGGGGGGGGGGGGGGGGTAGAAAGGGGAAGAGAATTTCACGTGGTATAAGCAGGTTTCGCAGCGTCAAACGCCAGAATAAATCGATGCATAGAGGTTGGGGAGAGGATGCCATAGTCGTAAAGATTCGTCAGGTGAAGAATGAAAGAATTTCTCAGATTTTGAATATTCATACGAACTCCATAGCTCTTAACAAATCCCATTAGGAGTTGATCGATATTGCAGTCCGCCACTACAATGTCCCTCGGTCTCACAGAAAGAATGTAAGCATTCCAAATCTGCATCAACTCCTTCTCACCCTATTGAAAGCACAAAGAACCGGCATTACACTCCATATTAATGGCAGCACATTAAGTATGTGGAATGAAGTGGAGGTGGGGTGGGGTGGGGGGAGCATTAATACCTTGTTCACGTCTGTTATCTCTTGCACTCTTCGTTGGTATTGATCGCGTAGCCACTTGGCCGACTCCTCTGCCTCCGAGTCATAAGTATCTCCAGCAGTGATCTGTTGAAGAGTCGAGGAGTGGTAGAATTTGCGTCGGTGCTTGACCATCTTGGTCGCGTCCTCTTTTAGTGCTGATATTGTTTCCTTTGCCAGGGCCATTGAAAGCATCTTGTTCTAAGACAACAAAAAGTAACAACAACAACAAATAGCAAACACATAGGCTCAAGCATAATAACCCTCTCGTGTATGTGCAGAGTCTAATCATGTAGTAGTCATCTTCAAACTTCAAACACTTAGCTATTGGCTTAACTGAGTGAGTGTAGTGACCCGAACTGACAGCCAAGGTATGAACCTATGTTCGTACCTTGGATCGATAAAAAACACAAAAGACAGGAACTGACGTGATATGATAGGTTGATACGAAGAAACGACGAGGGAATCTACTAAAGTCGAATAAATAAGAGAAAGGAGGCGGGGGGGGGGGGGGGGGGGGGGGGGGGGGGGGGGGGGGGNNGGGAGAGGGATGCTAAAAGTGACCAACGGACAAAATTATAAATATATAACCGTTAGTTTCCCAATTAACCGAAAGGCAAATTTCTACAAGACTGCGCACACAACACCAAATTGCTTAAGGCAACTCCAGACAAACGCAGAGAAAGAAGGCAACAGTTGCGACCCTGAAGCCTGCAAATGAATGACTCCATGCCTTAAAATCAACCACAACTTTAAGATTTACACATAGGAGGGGAATGAAGGTAAGATGAGAAGGCGTTGGTGAATGGATAATCCCGCATAACTGAAAAAAACCTGCCAACCGATGTGCTCTTATATTTCCGGTAGATCGGTGCTAACACGAATTAGGGGAGAAGAGGATGACTGAGAAGCTTAGAACCTTATCAGCAAAATCACCAAAGTCTTTCCACATTGCTAAAGGAAATAGAAAGTTGTGGATGGGTAGAGTGGAGGCAACTGCTACACTTCTGCCTTATCCACCTCGAATGGGTCTAGGAATACCAAGAGGGGGGGGGGGATACGTAAATTATAATGGCAGAGCCACATTCCCTAATGGTAGAAGAGCCTTGCCTTATGAATGAGGAAAAAGCCAATTTCATGGCAGTACCTTTTTCGTGAGAGATGAGATGTTCTCTATGGCTCGCCAGTAGATAAGATGAGTAAACGGAGTCCTTTTAAGGGGAGATCGGCGACTATGGAGAAACCTGGAAGTGGCGAGTTTACGAGCAAATCGGAGATTATTCTCAGGATCGCCACTGTATCCTGTCCAACCACCGACAAGTGGAAAGTGGTACGGGTTTCTCGAAGCAGACGTAACAGGCAGTGAAATATCAACACCATTTTCTGTGGGAGAATTAGCCTTTGGACGATAGGAACGAGGGATTGGATGTGGGATGGATTCATTGGAACCGTCATACGCCTCCTCAAGGTATATTTGAAGAAGAAGCTTCTTGGGTGACTGAATTGCACGGAAACGAAATCGTGGGTGGCAAGAGCGCAAATGAGCAAGAAGACAGCTTGGGTGATCTAGAACAAATGAGGGAGAATTTGACATCTAATTACACCAACATCAATGTTAATAATGCTATCCCTCTCTCCCCTCCCCCCGTCCTTCTCCTCCTTTTCCTTACTGTGATCTAAGCTCCCACAATGGGTAATAGTAAGCCATTAAGAGTAATTAAATCACTCAATCGTCGCTTGATAACCTGAACCTTTTTTATTCATACTATAAATATCCTATTGAGGGATGTGCGATAGACTTACCTCCACGTGGTGCACCCTGGGCAACGTTTACTCATACGGCAAAAAAATCTATTAATCGGCAGTTGGCTTCTGACTTCAAACTACCATTACCCCACTGCATTTCATATTCGAATAATTCCGCAGTACTCACCTCACCTTGTTTCTACCTTTGTGTCTGTCTTTTCTACATCTTTAAAACACTCTTCTGTTCCCCCTCTCGACTTTTCACTTTGATGTTCCTTCCCCTCCATGAAGTCAGAAGTCAACTAGAGGGCTAACGATAAGCATCAAAACGCCCGCCATTTGATATGAATAAAAATATCCTATTGCTATAGTGAGTAGGACTAGATTATGGAAGGCATGACTTAGTCCCTTCTAGAAATGTATGGGAAAACCTACCTCCTCGACTACAATCCAAGTAGCACCAAGGACAAGTGAAACCACAACTCCTTCCAAGTTGCATTGCCTGTTTGTCATCGGCGCAGAAGAAGAATTCGTAGATGATCTCAATGTCTTCCGCCTTGGAGGAGTCCACTCCATTAATATTTGAGACTTCAGTGCCATTTCTCTCGTCACCTTGAGACCTCGTCGTAGTCTGCTCCGACTGAGAATGCCGTCGCTTCTGAGATCCACGCGGAGCTTTTGTTTGAGCTAGACGAAGTGAAGTAAACTATCAAACGACTTATACCATGATACTGAGTAATGCTGACTAAAAGAATGCCAAGTTGTAAGATAGTAGAACTAGTTGGCTGTAGCGAGTCTCACACCAATATGGACGAGCTCTTAGACATTAATGGAGATAATCAAGGGTCAGTGATGATTGGAACACTCCAAAGAAAGTGGAAAATGCAATGCAATGATTTCTTCATTGGCAGACTTACTTCTCACCCCCTTCCCCCCCCCCCCCGACCCTATCTTAATTTCACTTGATTGAACTTACTTGCCGCTCCCCTTACTCGGATGCCTTCGTGTGACTTCACAGACGTTAATAATAGGTTGGAAAGGAAGAAATTAGCAACGACCGTTCGTTTCAAATGCTAATTGCTTCAAACGCTGGTGGTAACTTACGTGTGATTGCAGTACCAAAGGGCGAGGGTATGATTGAACCCCAACCAACACGAAAAATCAAGTGAGGCCACTCTGCGTATTGCTCCCTTGAAGTGCAAGCGTGGTTCTTCAACCGAGAAGCGATAGTCGATGAATTAGGCACAAATGCCAGCCGATGGTCACCATTAGGAGAGGTGGGTCTACCACCCTCCAGTACCATTACGGTTCGAGAGGGCAGTTCAACGGGAGGATCAGGTAGATCTGGTGGGAAACTAATCCCCGATGCTTGGATACCCAAACGAAATTCGTACTTCCCCGGTGTAAGAAGGAAAGATGAGGCCAGAGCATTGATTGAGGCTAAAATAAACGAGGGAGATTGAAAATCCATCAATTGTGATAATAGAATAATATCTGGAAATGAATTTGATAGTACACTTGTATGAATGAAATAGAGAGAGATTACGGCCAATTTAAGGAAGCAAAGATTAATAGCAGGTAGAGAAAAATCCGACCGAAATACTATGCTTGAAGAACTCAAACATGGGATGGCCACAATCAGTGAACTGCAATGAAGCGACCACTGGACCCTAAGTGTGAAAATTGCCAGTAATCACAAATGAACCAACATTTTAGACTCCAAATGACAATGGAAGAGAAAATCCAGAACTCCCCAGGATTTGGTAACATTACGGACACGTTAGAGTTCATCAAATGATTTGATATTGCACACACACTTACTAGGAGAGAAAAAGAGCGGAATAGTTGCCGAGGAGTACGTGACGGAGTAGGATGTTTGAGCAAGTGTTCCGGTGGCCTCATTCTCATTGACATACTTGGCACGGCGGCGTTCAAACACGTTGACCTGGAGCTCGATTTGAGCGGAGCTGATGCGTGGACAGATTTCATCGATGAGCATTTCGTCACTCACTGGTTCGGTAATGCGAGCCGCCACTCGGATAATGTCCGCCAGACGAAATCGAACCGTGTTGCTCATTGTCGAGTCTACAAGTGGGTTTCCATTGCAGGAACAGGGAGTGCCACGGGAGACAAGCACAAGCGAGTCCATTGGACGGAACTTGCGGCGCCATTTCCAAGAAAATCGGGCCAGAACATCGACGTTTGCCTGTAATGGCCAGAGCAAAATAGGTTTAATCAAGTCAATTTAGTATCTAACCCACAAAACTTACAAAAAAGGCGTTGAATAGAAGCAATGGGAGCGATTAGTCACTTGAACCACTGAACGTAAAGTGGTCAAGTGACCTCTAATCTGTTACCCGGATGTAGACCTCTGCGTCACCGCGCGCTTACATAGCAAAAGGTTTCCCATTCCTTGGTTTGGACATTCAAGCTCTGATCAATTGTAAAGTCCCCCAAAATATTCCAACCCCCCCCCCCCCCCCCCCCACCACCACCACACATAAACCCAAATCAATCAATATTTCCAAGAGATGCGAGAAAAGTCCAAACCTCCACTAAACACTTATACAAATGCAAAGAAAAGAGGCTGACTGTGAAAAAAACCAGAGCATTGAGAAATCGTAAGGAATGAGCCCAAATCGGGCATGATTTAAAAATCTACTTCATATAAAGCTCATAGAAGTCTCCATATGATACTCTACTGAAGGTAACAAGGTGCACATTACTATAAGACTGAGAACAAGAACGGGCACATTGACGAATACAGATCAATTTTACGGAATTCCAATTCAGTAACTAGGACAATAGCACTGAATGTACTATTTTATGCGAGAAGATGAAGAAGGACAATTACAAATAAAAAAAAATAAATATAGGCATATTCTCCGACCAGCACAATGAATCACGAAAACTGCTACGCAAGGCCCTATTATAAGTGCAAGGAGGGGCTTAAGACACAATATGTAAATGAGAATTGGCTCAAAAAGTGTTAAGTATAAAGTTGCCACCAACCGAATGTCCATGAAAAAGAAACCAATAGTCTTCCAGGGCTCAAAACCTTCAGATACTTGAGGGCTAGGAAAGACCAAGTTGGTTAAAACAAGACAGATGGAAATGTCGTGCCTACTGTTAACATTGGACACAGTATGATGATTTTCGAAGGAAATTTCAAAACAACAAAAACCAAAACTTTTGCAACAACCGTTTCCCTTCCTGGTGTGGACTCAACCCCCTGTACGAATATTATACACCACATTATCGTTGTTGATAAATAGAGACACAATGCAAATGTTGGCGTAAAATTGTCCTTACCGTCTGATAGAGAAATAAAAAATATGCCCAAAGAGATAATTAAGATGTTTGTTTTTAGATATACGAAAACGATTTGATTCTGCTAAATCTGGAGAGGTAATTCAATAACATAAAAAGCCCTACAGGTGACAAGAAAAGAACATTCAGAAAAATAAAACCATAAACGAAGTCGGGAAAGTTTGGTAAGATTCCATTAGGCATCAAAAAAAGTACAAACAATTATCGGATCCTTTTCTTAGACAAATAACAAAAGAGTAACAAAAGCATCATGAAAATTCAATACTTACCTCAACCGTAACCCACTCGGATTCAAGTTCACTATCTTTAAAGAGATCAAAGTCTATTTCGATCTCATTTGGCCAGTTCAAGTCCACTGTAGAATGGCTCACGCTCGATCGCGAACTTCTTTTTGACCTAGGAGTAATCGATGATCTAAGACCGTCCACGACTGCCTCTAATGATCTCCTTTCTACACAAGCAATAGGGATAAACATAAAGAGAAATATATTTACCCCTAGGAATTCTCTGTCGATCTGATTTGTGCATATAGCCCAAATTTCTGACGAGATAGATGGGGGAATATTTGTGGTATTTTGCGAGATAGCGATAGAGATACGACGGTGCCGAAAACGACCTAACAAACTCATCATAATTTGTCTGAGCCTGAGCAGATGTGAGAGCAACTTGATTTTCCGCTTGTGCTTCTCCCTCCGCATTCTGAGCATTGCCACGCGCACCTGGAGCAGTAGCAGAAAACCTCCCACTTTTGGTATATCTTCTCTTTGCTTTCACTTTAGGTCTTGACTCTGACGAAGTTTGAAATTCCACCGCATTACCCATCTAAAGGTCAAATTAATTTAATAAGGACATCTTACGCTAGCGTGTTCCATTTCATCTAGTTTTATTTCTATTCCATTAGTATCAGCGTCAGGTTTTATCCTCTTAGGCCGCGATCTCCTGCTCATTTCTGGGAAATAAAGGAAGCCGAAGTAAAATTATGGTATTCAAATATGAAATTAGGAAGATAGCAAAAGAAAGTAAGTAATGATGTACTGAGCTTATGGGAAAATTATAATTAGAACGCGATTTTAACTCGTTGCAAATATGTAAACAAAACATACCCTTCTACAAATTAAGGACCAACCGGGCTCAAACAGTTTGAACGATTTTCTAAACACCGCGCCACATGTAATTGAATAAAATTGCGATTTGTATCAAATTACTTTCAAAAATTCGTCCTATAAAATAAATTCAATATATATTCATACAATTATTATATAACACTATAAAAATCTACGAAACTACGAAATGTGCTATATTAGCAGCAATAAGAACGCTGTGAAATCTAATTTTTACTAAGAATTATTTTATGACAATTAAATTCGAAAATTGAATACTACGACTTTGATAGAGAATTTCGTTTTTTTCTGATATAATAATGCCAATCATCTCAATAATATTATATCTGCGATTAATGAATGATTTGAAGTTATTAAATACTTCCTCACTCCAAGATCATCAATAATGCGTTTTAAACATTTAATCAGAAACGAGAATTATTGCCACTACCACCAAGTATTGTTGAAAATTCCAATTGATTGGTTAGTTATCAAGCTCCAATACTACCTCAATGCGTATTACATGAATTAGTTTGAGAGATTAAACAAAATTACACATTTATTCATTCAAGGTAGCAAAGACAATAAATATTCAGATTGACAAATCTTGCTTGAGTTCAATATACGTAGAGATACATGAGACACTCAACTGCGAAATATATATCATGAGAAAATACAGGTGAAACAGGGTTCAGCTAAAAGATTTGGAGGTAAAAGAAAATGTGGATCTGTTTTACACAGAATAATATGCAAGTATGAGATTTCCTTAGAATGCGTATATAAAATTTGGTTTCGCGGAACTTTTAACCCTAGTCGATTTTAATGTTTCACAATTCTAGGAATTTATTCTGGAGTATTGATGCATTTATTTATTTATTTCAAATGGGAGGCTTTATGATATTTATCATTAGCTCTTAATCTTTGACTTCAGCTTCCCCCAAGAGGGGGGTGGTTACATTTATAGCGGTTAATCAATAGCAATTCATTAGCTGTCTTCTTGCTTCCCAGTATTTTTGGCTTTGCGTCCTTGACTTTAGGGCTGGACACCGAATCAGGTGGGTCTTCTCCATTTCCTCAGGTAGGTTACATAGAGGGCATGTGGGTTGAGTGTATACTCCCAATCTGTGAAGGTGTTTCGCCAAGCAATCGTGTCCGGTACGTAGTCTGAACTCAGAAACGGCTTCGATTCTTGGCCAGTCGGGTATGTCGGAGAGAGACACCGTCCACTGTTCTCCTTTGTTCGACCTTTGAGTTCGTTGAACCTTGAGGTCTGGAATTCTCTCCTGATTAAGGCCTTCATTGTGTGGAAAGACATCGGCCGGTCCATGCATTGCAAAATCGTTGTCCCCTTCTTAGCAAGTGTGTTAGCAAACTCATTGCCTTTAATGTCACAATGACCAGGAATCCATTGTAGGACCACTGTTTTGTTTTGCTCTCTCAGCAGCTCATAGAGTTTTCT